TAGATTGGATAACTTGGATAATTGTAGCTGCAAATAGTCATGCATGCAATGTTATTTTCTGAAAAGTGGGATGTTTGAATAGTATTTGCATAATATTCTACCACAACCTTTGCTGTAACTTGCTTTCACTTTTGTTTGTGGCAGCCATTAAACTAATTACTTGAAGTGGGTTGAATCTAAAAGAAGATTCTTCTATTGAAGATAGAAGGATGTATTTGATTTTGGACTTCAATAATTGACTTTTTTTGGGCCTGCCAAAGTAAAGAAAGAGAGTTGCAGAGAACTGGAGTCTTTAAATTTGCAGACATGACTAACTTCCTGTTTGAGACATCAGCCCACTGCTGCAAACTGTCCTGGCCTACAATCTGGATTGGGTGTGGAGCTTCCACTTATGCTGCTAATTGGGTACGATCCCATTTATTGGTCATCTGACACCTCATTCATTGAGATTAGTGGGTCACTCACTCTCTGTTTCACCTCCTCATTCTGCTGAAATCTAGCTCTATGCTAATCAAAATTGGCTAGGAGTAAATCCTAAGGATTTCCTGGTTTGCATGAGTCAGTTTCATTACTTCAGTTGAGAAGGACTTCATTCTAGGTTCTTAAAAGAAGTGGCCAATGTAATCATAGCCATTCAACTCCCAAAATTCTCTAGATTCAGGAAAGGTTCCTTCAGACTGGAAAATATCAGATATAACCCTTTAATTCAAGATGGATGAGAGACAGAAAACAGGAAATTATAGGCCAACCAACTTAGTTGTGAGGGGGGTGTTGGACTCAATCAGTAAAGAGATTACAGCAGCTCCCTTAGAAAAACTCAAGGTAATCAAGAAGAGTGCATGGTTTCCTGAAAGGAAAATAATTTAAAGTTAATTTAATGGAATTCTTTAAAGAAATAGTATGTTGGGCTCTTATGGTGCAGTGGTAGTGTTCTTACCCCTTGATTGGGAGGCCCAGGATCAAGTCCCATCTGCTCCAGAGGTGCGTAATAACATTTCTGAACAGGTTGGTTAGGAAAAATAGGTTTAGAAAAAAAAAAAAAAAAAAAAAAAAGGACTAATGTGTTGGGCTGTTGAAGTTCAATGGTCATGTCCCTATCCCTGAGCCTAGAGTCTTGGGTTCAATCCCTACTTGCTGCAGAAGTGTGTAACAGCATCTCAGAACATGTTTAGAAATATCTATGGGCTTTACAATTCAGATGTAGAGTACAAAAGCGTAAAGTAGTAGTGCAGGGCTTTTAAGTGTAGTGGTAGTGTCCCTACCCTTTAGGCGGGAGGACTTGGGTTCAAGTCCCACCATTTCCTGAGGAGGGTAAATAACATCTGTGAACAGGCTGAATTGAAAAGATACCTACTACTTAGAAGGACAAAGGCAGCAAATACACAGAACACCACCACTTGCAGGTTCCCCTCCAAGCCACCTGCCAACTTGAGCTGGATACATAGCAATGTTACATCCTATCTAGTGCTGAGGGAACACCATTATTACATGGACTGCATCAGTTTAGGAGGCAGCTCACCAGTACCTTACTCAAGAACACCTAGAAGCGGACACTAAGTATTGGCCTTGCCAAAGATGCCCAAAGCTCGAAATTGAACGTTAAATAAAGTAGTATAAGGGCTCTTGCGGTGCAGTGGTAGTGTACCTACCTCTGAGCAGGAGGCCCAGATTCAAATTCCACCTGCTCCAGAGGTGTGTAATAATATCTCTGAACAAGTTAATTTGAGATATATATCATTAAACTAAGAGCCCTGGTTCTAGACTCCTCTCCCTTCGGGGACATCCTTCCTGCATCTAGCATGTAATCAAGAAGGCTAATGGGATGCTATCCTTCATAATGAGAGGAATTGAATATAAACATAAGAATGAAATGCTTCATTTATTCAGGGCATTGGTGAGACCAAATCTCAAATACTGTGTGTTTTAGCCTCCTTATTTAAGGAAGGATGTAAATACATTAGATGTAGTTCTATGATTCAATAAATGGTTTGTTTTATAAGGATAAGTTGGCCAGGCTAACTTGTCTCCCTTGGAGTTTAGAAAAGTAAGGGGTGACTTGATTGAAGTTATAAGATCATGAATGATCTTGACAAGGTGATGTGGAAAGAAAGCTACCTCTTATGGGAAAGTTCAGGGGCATTGTTATAAAATTAGGAGTCTCCTTTTTGGACAGAGGAATTTTTCTTGCCTATGCCCATACTAGTCTGAAAACACTAGATCTTGTCTGATTTTAGAAGTTAAGCAGACTCAGGCCTGATTAGTATTTGGATGGGAGACTCCTGGAAATACCAGGTGCAATAGGCTTAAAATTTTCAGGGTGACACAGTGGCTAGAACTGCTGCCTCACAGTGTTAGGGATCTGGATCAATTCCACCCTCGGGCGACTGTCTGTCTGGAGTTTGCACATTCTCCCTGTGTCTGCATGGGTTTCCTCCGGGTGCTCCAGTTTCCTCCCACAGTCCAAAGATGTGCAGGGTAGGTGGATTGGCCATGTTAAATTGCCCATAGCATCCAGGAATGTTTAGGTCATGTGAGTTAGATATGGGGAAAATGCAGGGGTAGGGGAGTGAGTCAGGGTGGGATGCTCTTCAGAGGGGTGGTGTGGACTTGTTGGGCACAATGGCCTGTTTCCACACTGTAGGGATTCAATGATTTTTCTCAGAGGGTTGTGCAACTTTGGGACTCTGCCTCAAAACGTGGTGGAGATGAGATCATTGAATATTTTAAGACAGAGATCGATAGACCCACATCTCTCTAAAACTTTCCTATTCAGGTACCTGTCCACATGTCTTTTATATATTGTAATTGTGTCTGCTTCCACCAGTTCCTTTGGCAATTCATTCCATATACACACATCTGTGTGAAAAAGCTGTCCCTTAGGTTCCTTTTAAATCTTTCCCCTCTCTACCTATGCCCTCTAGTTTTGGACTCCCCTAGCCTAGGGAAAAAGACCTAGGCTATTCACCTTATCTATGCCCCTCATGATTTTATGAACCTCTATGAAGTCACCTCCTCAACTCCAGGAAAAAAACAGTCCCAACCTATCTAGAGATAGTAAAAACTGTTGGTGTTAGAGTCAGAGATAACACAGTGTGAAGCTGGAGGAACACAGCAGGCCCGGTAGCATCAGAGGAGAAGGAAAATTGACGTTTTGTGTTGGGAACCTTCTTCAGAAATGGGGGGCGGGGAAGGGGGCACAGAAATAATGAGAGAGAAGAAGCGTGGAGCTGAGGAAGGTAGGTGGGATGGTGTTAGGTGAGTGCAGGTAGGGAGTGGTCAGTGAGGCAGCAGGAGCGGATAGGTGGGAGAGGAGATGGACAGGTTGTCAGGTTAAAGAGGTAGGGATGAGAGGGAGGGTTGGTCATGGGATGAGGCCAGGGGTGGGGAGATTTTGAAACTGGTAAAATCCACATTTAGGCCATTGGGCTGTAGGCTCCCCAGGTGGAATACGAGGTGCTGCTCCTCCAGTTTCTGGTGGCATCATTGTGACACTGGAGGATGCCCAGGATGGGCATGTCACCCAGGGACTGGAAGGGGGAGTTGAAATAGTTCGCGACCGGAAGGTGTTGTCGTTTGTCGCGAACAGAGAGCAGGTGCTCTACAAAGTGGTCTCCAAGCCTCCACTTGATCTCACCAATGTAGAGGCGGCCACATTGGGAGCAGCGGATGCAATAGACCACGTTAATGCATGTGAAGGTGAACCGCTGTCTTATGTGGAAAGCCTATCCAGACTCGGTAATGTCTTTGCAAATCTTTTCTGCACCCTTTCCAATTTAATAACATCCTTCCTAAACTGGGGTGAGCAGAATTATATGCAATGCTCCAAAAGTAGCCTCACCCATGTCCTGTACAGCCGCAACATGACATTGTAACTCCTATACTTAATGCTCTGACCAATGAAGGCAAGCATGCCAAAAACCTTCTTCACCACCCTGTCTACCTATGACTCTACTTTCAAGGAACTATGTACCTGACCCCAAGATCTCTCTGTTCAACAAAACTCCAAGGCCCTACTGTTTGCTGTGTGAGTTCTGCCCTGGTTTGTCTTACCAAACTGCGACATCTCACATTTATCTAAATTAACTGTATCTGCTACTCCTTGGCTCATTAGCCCAGCTGATCAAGATTCCATGCTAATTATTTCTCTTTAACTATTTATTTAATTTTATTCTTTCATGAGACATGGATGTCACCAAAGCCAACATTTGTTTGCCATCCTTTTCCCTTGCTGGTAGGACAGTTAATAGTCAATCATGTTGACTATATCTGAAGTCACAAACGTCAGGCAAGCTAGCGATGGCGATGGCAGATTCCCTACACTGAAGGACATTGGTGAATACTCAATAGCAGTTGACTACCAGCAACAGACCAACTTTATATACCAGATTTATTAACTTAAAAATTCTACCAGCTGCCAAGGTGAATTTCAAACCTGTGTCCAAAACACGAGTGTGGAGATCTGGAAAGGTGATGGTCTTGTGATATTATTGCTGGAGTGTTAATCTACAGGACCAGAAAAACGTTCTGGCAAAGTTTTGGAGTTCTGATGAAGGGTCACTCAACCTGAAACGTTAACTGTAAGTTCTCTCCATAGATGCTACTGGACCTGCTGAGCTTTTCCAGCAATTTCTATTTTTGTTGTTAATGTTCTCAGGACCCAGGTTCAAATTCTGCTGCAGTGGATGGAGGAATTTGAATTCAATAAAAATCTGGAATTAAGAGTCTAACAATGAACTATGTCCTTTTGGGAAGGAAACTACCATCCTTACCTGGTCTGGCCTACAGGTGATTCCAGATCCACAGCAATGTGATTGCCTCTTAACTGCCCTCAGGGCCATTTCAGATAGGCAATAAATGCTGGACTAATCAGTGACACCCTGATCCTGTGAATGAATAAAAGAAAGATACTAGTTCAGTGATATTACCACTATCTATCACCTGTCATGATTTATTAATCAGAAATAGTAGTCACATCTGTATTTCCAGGCAGACTGTGTGTCTCCTGAAAAGCAAAATACTGCTGTATACTTGTAGCTCTATTCTGCTATAAGATTATTTTTAATCAACCTGTTATGTGGCACAACGCAAGGATAGGAAGATTTGAAAGCACACCTCCTGGTCGAGACATAAGGACACTACTGCTGCGCCTCAAGATCGCTCACTTATCAGTTTCATTTGGCTTTCTACCTACATGTGATGATGTATTGAGAGTGAAAAATCACCTGCGGGTGACTTCAGACACCGGACGCTCGCGTTTACACCACAATAACGTTAGTGCTATATACGTACTGCATTTCATCTGTTTTTGTGCAGCTATTTTGTCCCCAAATTCAGCTTATTCCAAACACTGTCATGATCTCTTGTATTCTAATTCTCTCAAGCCAGTGATTCTGTTTTGATTCATTTTGGTGATACTTAAAGAAGACCACGTTGATTTGTTTCTTTAGACTGCTGTCTCCACTCCCAACCCCCACGTCAATTCCTCCCCTCACCCCGCCTTTCCGATGCTTCTCGGTTCCTTCCGTTCTGCGCCGCCGTTATTTTACAACTTTTAAAGATGCTATTGAGTGAGTTTCGTCCCGAAGGCAGAAATCGCCGCTTCTGAGCTACGCCAGGAAATGCACCCACAACAAAATCTGGGAGATCAAAGAGAAGCAAGGGGCGGAAGAGCGCCATTGCAGCTCGGAATCTGGGAAGGTATTTAACGCCGTGGAGCCGGGGATCTAAAGCTAGAGAGCAAGGCAAGAATTCACAAATCGCCGTACCATGGCTTTGTCCTGCAGAAGCTGGCTGTCCAACGAGGGCGGAAAACATCTGTTTTTGGTAGGGCTGGCGAGTACAAAAAACGCTCCTCGCTCTGAGAATTACAAAGCATTTTAAAAACTTTCTGAAGTAGGCGAATCGGCAATCTCCAGTGTTCAAATAGCATGGATTGACTTTAAAGCAGCTTTGATCAACATTTTTCTTTCCTCCTTCTCCCTTTCAGCTTTTCTGGTTGTCGGTGAACGTGCTGCTGTTTTGGAAAACCTTTACGCTTTATTACTACGGTACACAGTATTATTACTTGCATCGGATGCTTGGGGTAAGTAGAACAAAAGATCCGTTTCTGTCTATTCGTGGAGAAGTCTGCGAGAAGCTTCGGTGGGGGCAGTGAGACTGACAGATGAGCTTTTCCTTGTGAGCAGTTCCTTGTCTGTTGAACAGGCTGTTTCCGAACAATAGAAAGTCGGTATCATGAACCCTGTCACCTAACATTCAAATATTTTAAACAGTAAAGTTGGCAGTCTCATAATTAGTGCATTAATTGTAAGTTCGATTCATTCTCGTTGGTACAGAAAGTGACCGGAAAGAAAAGGACAGTGGCCTCAAGTTTGTGAATCCTTTTATGTTTGGAGCATGTGTAAAGAACTAGTCGTGGGCTCAAACTCTTGGGGTTACAAAGGAAATAGGCAGGGAGTGTACTAAATGAAGACATTTGGAAATAATTGTCAGTACAATGAACATTGTGATATTCTTTCACAATAGTACGGTTTAAATCACCAACCTCCTGCTGGCTACGTGCAATGCGTGTAAAGAACCAGGAAGAAGTTCTGCAACATGAAAATGTATGTTTTATCCAAATTGGATTTCATTCATGTTGGTGCAAGCCAACTGTGGTCAGGAGAGGTGCAGGGTTTTCAAAGTGTTAACCTGAAACGTGGCCTCTGTTTTCTTCAGACTTGTTTGGGCTAATAAGTTGTGTAATGGGCAATATTGGCTATGTTTTGTTTCTGCTTAAAACTTCAATTCAGACAGATGGTCACTTTCAAAAATGCCTCTTTTGTATATTCATAGATCATAGAATCCCTACAGTGTGGAAACAGGCCTTTTGGCCCAACAGATCCACACCAACCCTTGCAGCATCCCACCCAGACCCATCCTGCTATAACCCACCTAATCTACACATCCCTCAGCACTATGGGCAATTTAGCATGGCCAATCCACCTAGCCCTGCACATATTTGGACTGTCGGAAGAAACCAGAGGAAACCTGCACAGACAGGGGGAAAGAATGTCTGTGTGGAGTTTGCACAGTCAGCCATAGGTGGAATCAAACCCAAGTTCCTGGCACTGTGAGGCAGCAATGCTAACCATTGTGCCAACCCTATGTGATAGAAACAGGTCACTAAGTTTTGAAGTTCAATGTTATAACCAAGATTCTGAGATGTCAAAGTGGTTGTATTTTGGGTATTACTATTTTACTTAAACTTACAGATAGCTGGAGGTACAGCACTAAACAAAAGACAAAAAGAATTGTGGATGTTGGAAGTCAGAAAACAAACAAATATCTGGAAAATCTCAGCAGGTCTGGCAGCATCTGTGGAGAGAAAACACTAATGGTGTTTTTGGTCCAGTGACCCCTTCTTCAGAACAGTAGTTGTGTCTCCTTTGTCCCTAGTTTGTCTCCATGAGCGTTATGACAAGATGTTGAAGATACCTATATAAGCAAATGAAAATTAGACTGGTTTCTGGAGCTAACATCCACAAGATCTCTAACAGTCTCCTGCAATGACAGCTTTTGTATTCTCTAGTTTCCTCTGCCAATTGGTTAGTATCTTGAATATGTCAATGTATTTCTTACTGATGTGGTTGGGAAAAAGGGTGACTATTTCTAAGAATGGGAAAATTTTTCCTGTTGCATTAAACCAGCTTGCAAAAACACATTTTAGTCTGTGTTAAATAAATTGGTGAATTTTGTTTAATTAGAGTGCTTAAATGAAATTGACAAAAAGTATCAAGTCATTTTTTGAAGAAAAAAAGTTTAAAAATGTCCAAGGATAAAATCATATTTAAACATTCTGGCTAGAAAGTCAACACCTGATTTAATCTTTCATGCTGAATACTTTCAGCATCTTTGAGAAACTGTCCCACTTTTGGTCTCCTTGTATATAAAAGTTAGTGGTGCTGATTTTTAGTGTTAATATTTTGATTTGTTTAATACAGCAGCAACACTACTGCTTCAGAAATAAAAGTAAACTAATCAGATTATTTTGGTTATTTATTAGAAATGATTTGGAAGAATCTGAGCAAGGAGCCATAACCTTAAGTTTTATGTTAGGTTACATAGGGGTGGATTCAGGAAATACTTCTCTGGTGGGGGTGTTATCTACAATTCTCTCTGGGAAGAAGCTTTAAAAAAAAAATTAACTGCCGGTATGGTTTGGTGCTGCTTTGTTGGGGTTCATACTCCTGTACCTTGGTATTTTCATTGTGTTAAAGCTGCTAATGTAAGTGCAAGTTACTGTTACTCAGCAGATTCCTGTCATTTAAGCAAACAAAGATATATGGGACATGGACAAGTAAGTGGGTTGAGTCAGAGACAGTAGGAACTGCAGGTGCCAGAGAATCTGAGACAAGGTGCAGAGCTGGAAACACCAGCTCTGTACCTTGTTGTCTCTGTAAATGGGTGGAGTTTGATTGCCTTATTTAAATAGATCATTGATAATTATCTTTTCAGAACATAGGTATTGGGAGACTGTCAGTCAACCCTGTTCCACTATTTACTTATATCATGTTTAATCTGTATCCCAGCTTCTGCTCCCTATATTTCAGAACTACCATTAGTTTTAAGTCCTTTTTCAGTTTTTGCCTGATATGGTCACATTCTGCAGAAATGTTTTTGAAACGATTGAATGCCTTAGTTTCCTTTTTTTATGCTGATCTATCAGGGGTATTTTAATTGAAGAAAACTGCCTGCAAACTTCAGCTGTTCCTAAATGGTGATACTGGTGCTATAGTAGCCCATCAGTATTGAAAGTGGCATTTGTTGTTCTTCCTATTTTCTGCATGGCTTGTGTTTTGTATCATGTCTGGGAACAGAAACATCATGGATCTGGAATGTGTGTACAGGAAGCACACAGAATGGATTGATTGTGACACTGCTTAGCGTTTAACACTGATTTTTGAATTGACCTGTTAGGACTGTTACACACCCCTGGAGCCTGTACAACTTGAACCTGGGCCTCCTACTTCAGAGGTAGGGACAACTGTGGCTGCTCATAAAAGCACCCTCCCTGCCCAGACTGGCCCTATTAGTGCCCTCTCAAATACACTTGGCTGAGCATAGGTTTGGCTACTCGAGTCCCTTACCACCAACAATATTTAAAAGTCTTTGCTTGAGACTTTCAAATTAGATGCTTCTGACTGCTCAAGCTTGGTTTGAACACCTGTAAGCACAAAGCTTTCTATCACTTATGAAATCTATAGTTGTAGTCCTTCAGGCAAACCAACACACCAAGCATTTGTGTGCACAATCAGTATGTGCCAACAGGGCTCCTGTTGCCTTACCAGACTCTAATCTAGTACTCAGACAAGTTGTCACAGATGGCATCCTTGTCCCTTGGCTAGGCTGCAACCTCCTGGTGTGCAGTGACTTACCAGATGTTGATCATCTAGCCACTCAACTCCTCACCATCCTAGTATAAGCGACAGTGCATCCCAGTCAAAAGCCTGCTTTTGTTTAGGCCTGCTTTGTGGCTGAGGCTGCGTTGGCTGACCAGGTGGCAGTTCCTGGATACCTTAAAGCATTGAAGACTAGGATGTTTAGAGTCAGGGAAGCAATGGATGTGGAGTTGTAAGAAACAATTCCATTGTCATTGAGGTAACAAGGAGTAGAGCTGGATGAACACAGCAGGCCAAGCAGCATCAGAGGAGCAGGCTGACTTTTCGGGCCTAGACCCTCCTTCAGAAGGCCTGCTGTGTTCATCCAGCTCTACCCCTTGTTATTTGAATCAGTCTGTCTATTCCCATTCAGTTTGCAGTGCATGCCTTAAAGGGCCTCTTGGCCATCTACAGAGACATGATATTTCTCAGCCTTTCCTGACTGAAGGCCTCCCAAGAGCACGGAGCTTAGACAGCTCGAGGACCTGCTACAGCCAGAAATGCACCCTCAGGTATTCAGCTGCAGACTGAAATTAGAAATGTAAGCTAGCTTTAAACATGAGCAAGCCATACATGCACTTAGATCTCTGAGTGCGCAGCCAGTCAGCTCTGTTCTGTAGAATTGGAAAGCATGCTGCAATCTTGGAGATGAGCAAGCATCAAAGTTTATATACTGATTGGTAAAGGGACAAAAGACATCCACAAACAATCCCTCTGAAATAACTCCACAAAGGCCAGTATCCTGTCACCAAGTCACCCATTATTTACAGCCCCAATCAGGGAACTCATTCTATGAGGTCCACCTGGCTGACCACATTCCAATCACTGCATCCCTTCCTGTCTAAGTCCTGGGGCATAGGCCTGTTCTTTTCCTAGGGTGTTTCTGCACCAGATCGGGTTCTTCCAATTTTGCCTCGGATACTTGCAGCATGTACCGGATCGTGGCCTGCCTCTTGCGTCTCGGAAGAAATTAATCTACTTTTGGTGGTAACAGTGTTGAGGCTGTGACATCTATGTCCATATCATTCGGAGGTTTGTTCGACACTAAGCAAAGATGGAGAACCCATGGGTTCTGACAGTATTGCTGCATGTTCTGAGGGGTTGAGGTTGTAGCTTTCATGTAGACCACATGTTTGGTTATGACTGTCTCTTCTACTTGGACAGTGTATGTCATGGGACCTGACCTCCTGTCAGCCGTGCCAGTTACCCATACAGGACCATTCCTGTGGTTCTAGCACCAAATTTTGGTCACTCACCTGCCTCTCTCACTTAGAGGAATCTTGCTTCCAGCATTGGTGTTCCTGATGCTGTTTCACACCCCTAGCCCCGTGCTCTCTCCAGGTCCAGGAAGTTCAGGTTTAACCTGGTGCGGAGTCTTTCCCCCATCAACAACTCTTCTGGAGCTGTCCTTCTAGTGGCGTAAGGGATGGTCCAACAAACAGGAACAGGGATAGTTTGGTGTTGAGTGAAGCTGCAGGCTGTTTCCTTAAGCTTGCCTTCAAAATTTGGACTGCTGTTTCCACCTGGCTGTTGGGATGGAATGTACAGAACTATCCTTACATGGCACACGCTATTCGACTTTAGGAAATACTCAAACTTCCTGCTGATAAATGATGGCATGCTGTCTGTGACCAACATCTCAGATGGTGTACTGCAAAAGATG